TAAACTCTTTGTACACTGGAGGTTAATACTCAGAGCAGAAATGCATGAGTAGAATAAACGTCAGTGGCATGCCAGAAAATTCACAACCTCTTATCGACCCCACTTAATCTGATTGGTTGCAGGCATGAGCTTTATGAGCACTCAGCATTCATTATATTCACTTTCTATAGATCTCACCCTTTGTATGGTCCAAAATAATTGCTATTGCAATTTTTACTTTACGCAAGAAAAGATGAACTTGTCTGCTGTATCATATGCAGTTACAAACATTTGGGGATTGGCAGAAGTGTTGAGAAGCACTCTGCTATAGCTTGCGCTTCTTCTCATGTGCTGTTGATCCATTCACACGCCATAAGTGGAATGTACAAAGTAAATCAATGATTATCAGTTATTTTTTTCGTGACAGAATTGCTGTGATAGCAGTCCTAACAATGCTATTTGGATATTTTGGTATAAAATGGATGGTATCTGGTAAGCTTWGTTTCTTTGTCAAGTTGTTAATAAATACTTTTATGTGTTTTCCCATTGGGTAACAACGACTATTTTCTATATTTTTAGGTCCTCCAAGTAAAGAGAGAGAAGTAGAATCTTCATCAACAAATGAATCAACTGTACAGCCAGCTACATGACATTTTCTACCATAATCCACTGACATAAAGAAATTCAGCTCATTCATGTTATTGAAAAAACAGAAGTTTAGCCATTACATGAGGCAAATGTGTATATTTTGTTTTGAGAAAAAAAGAACATTGATACATGAAGCAGATGGATTGAAATTTAGCTTTAAAAGGACTTGGTGTTGATACCTTAAGAAAGTAGAGCTTAACCCTCAACTAACCAATCAGTATTTCATAGACTGACTAATGTTTCAAAAAATGATTATAGGCCCTTACCAGTTGTGTCAAATTTTGAATTCATGACCCGCCTCTGTATTCCTTGATTAGTACAGACTTATTTACACAGGGTTATAGCCTCAACTCAGGATCAAAATATTCACAGTTAACATTATTTTGTACAGTTGATTATAACAATACAGACACTAGCACCCTTTCAGTGAAATTCCATCCAGGTTTTTTGGAATCAAGACACACAATGCATTGTTTGTCACAGCAAAAATTCCTAAGCATTTTCTTTCATTTCTTGTCAAAACTAAACATTTTCCACCACCACAAACAAAAATACTATGCTAAAAGATATTTTGTTGAATCTTTATGCATATAAGTCTTTTTCCCTTTATTTTTGAGTAAAAGCTGCTGTTTATTGAGCTGAAAACCAGAAAATAGGAAATATTTTAAGCTTAAAAGCTTTGAACAAAATGTTTGCTGATGGTAATTCRTTCTGGATGAGAAAAGCAAAATCACTTGAGTTGATGGAGCTTCACTGAAACAAAGGTACTGGAATATTCACAACATTAAGGCTAAGGTCTGTTAAGGCTCAGCAACAGAGAACATGAAACTGGTGTATATGGTTTATCCAAAAGAAGTTCAGATATGACAATAAATTAAAAACTATTGGCTTTTTTATATTTGTTTATTAAATATATATTAGTTTTTTCTTGTGCTTTTTTGTACTTTTTTTTATAAAAACCGGTTATTTAAGAATTTATACAAGGACATCTATAAAATGCTAAGTATGTTAAATTATGACATATGTACAGTCGATAGGAATGATAAACAAATAAATACAAACCATATTTCATTATTTTGAATATTATTYCTAATATAGTACACACAGAAAGTGGTCACTGAATGCACCTTTTAAAAATACTGATGATTCAATTGAAGGCATCTCAAAGCTATAGCATAATATATGCTACCATAACACAAAACAAACGACTAAACTATGAAAATAAATAGTCATGAAAAACTAGCCCTGACCCTCCCCCTCAGGTGGTTTGACTGCCTCACCCCCTCCCTCTTGGGTTTTGTCGCCATCACCTTCATTTTCACCTTCTGGTTTGGATTCATCATCTTTCTTCTCTTCAGTTCCTGTTTGCTCTTCTCCACCTTCTGGTTTTTCTCCAGTTTCTACTTCATCTTTAGCTTGTGGYTGTTCCTCACCAGATTTTTCCGGTGCTGGTTCAGCCTCTGCTTGAGTATCAGCATTGGCATCTTCAGGTTTTGCTTCAGCGCCTTCGCCTCCATCTTCTGTATCCTTAGCATCACTACCAGCTGCAGCATCACCTTCAGTGGCAGGCTTATCTGCAGAATCATCTGAAGGTTTCTCAGTCGATTCCTCGGTAGGTTTCTCAGCTAAATCATCTTCTTGTTCCTGTGTTTCTTGACTCACTTCTTCACCTTCTTTTTGAGGTTCATCTTTTTTATCTTCAGCTGYCCCCTCTTGAGGTGCTTCCTGTTCTGTTGTTTCTTGAGGTTGCTCTTGACCATCTGCAGCCACAGCCTCACTTGTCTCCGCTGAAGCTTTATCAACATCTTCAGTTTTCTCTATGGCCTCTTGTTCTAAAACTTTAAAGTAACCAATCAAATTAGAGCCCCCAAACATTTCAAACAAAATTGGACAGAAATTTAAAGAATTAATATGAATTGTACAAGTATCTTAATATTTTTTATTTTCGAGCCTTACTTTGAGAAATTAAGACAGTAATTGAGCTGCATTGCATTAACTTTTTTTTTAAGATTTAGTAGTTAGTGAATTTACCAGGTTTTAAATCTTAAAATGTTTAGTCAGGTATTTTAATTTATTATGACTGTATTAAGAAGGGAGCAAGTTATAAGCGACCTTTAGATTGGATGACAAGTATGAGATCGAGTATGAGACGAGTTTTGGTCTTGTGAGCATGGTTGACACTGAATTGGTGTCAATTTCCGATTTTTTTAAATCTAAAGTTTCAATCTATGTACACGACCACAACTATGAAATGATAGTGCCTCTCTCTTTAAAAGTTAAAAACCCATGCTTGTACTCGTTGTACTCGCTTGTACTCTTACTCGTCGCTGGATCTAAAGGTCTCTATTAGTTGAATTGAGTGGAGYCAAGTTCTGTAATGTTTAGTATTAACATGAAACAATTGAAAAAGACTAATAATTGAGTGAGTGTTAATACCTCACAATGATAATTTAAAGTTCAAGAACAATATGGTTATAAGGAAMAAGAGCACTTACCATGATTATACATAGGAGAAAAGAGTATTTTAATTGATGCTTGATGCTCTTTCAGTCTAAGTGATATGCTTGTTTAGTCAAGAGGTCAAAAGTAAAGTTTATAATCATTATGATAGAAGCGGATGGATCATATGTGATAGATGAAATAGTTGTTAAAAAAGGATTTAAGAACTTGGTACTCGAGTATTAAACTTGAGTGTAATTAATTTATTAATAGTGCTGGCTCACCGAGAGAGAGAGAGAGCACAGCAAGAGAGCACAATTTAGATTTTTAAATCTAAAATTTGTCAATTCAATTATGGTATATCCATTTAACGAAATATTCATGCCACTAAATAAGGTCATGCATGTTAATATTTAGAGAATGCATTTTAACTCTTTATCTCACAGACATTAGCTTACCACAAACCTAGTATTACTTTCATTACTTCATTCCCATTCATTCATAAACTATCCACACACCAACCCTGTCACCTTCCTTCATAATGTATTTTTATGAAGAAAGATATATAGTATTGAGATATGACCCCTTGTGAATATTTCTCCTGTCTGGGAGAAGATTTGCAACTCTACATCATTAATTTAACAATGGTCATACTTATCAATGCCTTGGCTAGTCAATAGTTCAATTGATAGTCAATAGTTTTAGTTTTAGGGGCTCTAATGATTAAGTGATTGGACCCTCCTATACTTGGACCCCAAGCTAGCACGTAAGCATCTTCTAGAACCCAGGGGTAAAATTCTGTTGTTCTGGTACTAGCGAGAATTTTGCCCCTCGGTTCCCTAGGATGGCATGTAAGGTATGTGTTTAAATAATAATTTGTAAGAATTAAAATGCTAGTCTGATAATACCTTTAAACCTTCCAGCAAARTCAAGTCTGAGTGCAATGTGTTCATTCCAGGTTTTGGGATGTAAACGAACATAACGACTAACKGGAGGAAGGGCCAGCCAGTGAGACACCACAGTTTCTTGGTCAGAGTTACCATCAAATACCTGAAAAACAAGGATTGGAAGTTAATGAGTTTTTTTWAAATAAAACCTTAACTTTTGACTTAATTTAATTCAATGCAGTATAGATAACAGAGTCATGATGATAAAGCTTTTGAGTATTGATCAAAATGTAACATACTGTAAAGGACAAAAATTCATCTYCAACTTGTTTCTCCTAGCACCACATTGGACATTTATATCCTTTTAGGTCTGAGGAGGCTAAAAACTATAGAATATTAATTTAATCTGCAGTACATAGGTTCTCTCTATAAAACACTAGTAAATATGTGGGCTCTTATTTTATTTAAAGCAAAGGTAGTGCTCCTGGATACTTACAGTTATTCTAGTGCCTAATTACTAATCACTTTAACCAAGGAAAATATCCTGTGTTCTCATTTACTTTGAAGTTTATATTTACTCTACACCATTGTTATCATTATCTAATTTAAGTTATGATGGCTTGCAGTAAAAGACTAAGACAGTATGGTATGAAAAAAGAAAATATATGTTCCTGACCTATATCTTCATTAGGAATTGGAGACACTCGAGTAGGTCCCATTCCAAGCCAATTAAAAATTAACAAACAGTCATCCCATTGATTTACTGATTTTCTTGAGTTTGATAGTAGTTTAAGCAGGGGGGGGGGGCATTATGTTATGCTCAACAATATTTCTTAATGGTAAACCTGGAAACTATCCACAAATCAATCTCTACATTTTGTTTTTTTCCACATATCATGTACTTTAGCCAGAATCCTGCATCGCACATAACTCCTSAGAACCATTACAGTTAGCAGAGGGAGACCCCTACTAACTGTGGTACCACCCTGTTTGAGAGTAACAGCTCTRTAACTTTTCTAGGAAAAATATATATGCTGTACCTTGTCTTGACCACCTTCTTGATATACTGCAAAGTTTTCACCATCTGTACTGAAGGACAACAAGTAACTAGTGACATGATGAGTTGATTCTCCTCCTTTTCCTTGAGTTGAAACCTTAGTTATCTCAGCAAGCCTTCCAAAATCTATTTGAATCCATTGATTTTCATCATTATCCTTAGCTGCCCAACCGGCCATCTTTTCGCCTTCTTCTYTTGTGTTAAGTCGGCATTGGGATGGACTGTGGTTGTCATCAAGGGTTGATGATGCACTGATACAATCATCAGGAATCTTGCTGTCAGCAACTCCAAGAGATTCCGTAAATGTTTCTGGAATATGAAGTAGGCATTGATTACATTATGTTACACTTAACTATAAGTTATTATACTGTAGTAATAATAATCTGATGTTACTGCAGTGATGGTCTGACTATGTTTGTCGAGGCGATGCACAGATGAATGATTGTGCAATTATCAGGGGCTTGGCAAACAGTAACAGTGTCTCAGGAACAAAAATTGGGCATCAATAAGGCTGTGCTTCCTTGTACTTGTAGAGGGTAAATTGTGTATGAGTTATGAAAAGCATGGCAAACATCAAAGCCATGTTGGTACACAAATGTAGTCAGCAGTTGGTTCTGGAAGCTGCATGTCAATCCATTGCCATAGAATGGCATTCCCTCCAAAAATAACATCCCATTGAACCAATTGCAATACATGTACTTGAGTAGAGTGTGCCATTATAGCTGAGCTATGTTGAGCAGCTATTGGTTATCTGGCTCACTTATTTACTTGTGGTAGTGATGTATGTACCTACCAGCATCAAATCCATACAGCTCCATTCTTAATGCTATTTGTTCATTSCAGGTCTTAGGGTTGATTCTAATGTACTGAGTAATCAAAGGTTGTGAAAGCTCATTTGAGACAACTGTGTCTTGGTCRGTATTTCCATCAAACACCTACAGCAAATCACAACAAGATGGCATTAAYTGCAGATCATTATATGATTGGCTTGCACAGTACATGCATAGAAAAGGCAATTCTCTTGCAAGAGACAATGATTGTATAATTTCCCACTGTTCGTGATGACTAGCCAGGTTAGTCAAAAGRCAAAGATTTGACAGAAAGAGTTCCAGTTCTGACCAGACATTGTCTGATGACCAGCCTCTATTTTTTAAGCCCTTATTAAATCTTCTTACCTTATCATCATAATCAACAAAGTTCTCTCCATCTATGCTATAAGATAGACTGTAACTCTTTACATGGCTAGTGCTTTCCCCATTCTCTCCTTGAGTAGCTATTTTGGAAACTCTACTGCACTGGCCAAGGTTGACCTGTAGCCACTGGTTTTCATCATTGTCTTTAGCAGCCCATGCACCTTTCTTTTCATCTTCAGATTTGGTATTGAGTCGACAGCTTGACGCAGCATGGGCATCATCAAGGATTGAGGAAGCAGTGATTGCATCATCTGGGATCTTACCATCTTCCAAGCCAAGTGCAATAGAGAAGTTCTCTGTAGACATTTCACAAAATTAATACAAGAATATTATAATTATATTATTCATATATTAATATGTAAAGATTTATAGCAAACAAAGTAGACCTATACAAAAGTTGTCCTATATGAAAAACATAGCTTAGTTTTTAAACATTAAAATTTGTTTGGTTTTGCTTCATTTACAAGGAAGTATTACTGTATGCTGCTGTAGAACCAGTTATTTGGCTTGTGTTGGTTTTGTGCTGGTCTCATGGCATAATGACATTGGTGCTATTTCATCTTCGACAGTAAGAGTGACCATTACCTTCCACTTTGACTACTTCTTTCTTTGGCTCTTCTTTTGCTATAAATTAACAGGAGGTCAAATTAGGAATTAATAAATGTCACTAAATAATGTGCTTAGATCAGCATTGGGTTCACCTATACATGTAACTTCAGGTGGCATTCAGCAAGACACTGACATTACTTCTTGCCACTCAAGACTAACACTGTCAGACACCACACTAACGCCATGTTGTCAGTRCATGGTCATTCACATGTCCTTGTTTGCCTTTTCAGATTTTTTGTGTGCAAAACTTCAAGAGACAATTCACACAAATGTAGCATTACATGTCTGTGCCATATCCTAACAACAGTATAAAGTATTCAGAACTAAATATAACTAAGTATTCAGAACTTAAGACTCAAGACATGATTRTGATGATTAACTGTTACATACGTTTTACTGTGCCATCTGGAAGTAATTCTACTTCAGGGAAAAACTCTTTGATTACTTTAACTGCYTTCTCAGGGTCGGAGCTGCCATGCACAATATTCTTCATCTTATCAACTCCAAACTGGGCTCTCAACCTGTGCAGGTAACCATCCAGTTATTAGTACAAATAGTGTGTCCCTCTGACCCTGAGACTGTGGGTTTAACGCAATTATTGCTAGTTCTTGGGACTTATTTAAATATGAAATACATGACTGTCTTGTTTCTGCAATCTTGAAATATCAGGGCAGGGGACTAAAGGTAGCACTGACTTTATTTTACAGATTTAATGTGTGAGCACTCTATACAATGCTTTCACACATGATGAATAATTGAAGAAACAAACAGCCTTGCAGAAATAGCTCCTTGGAGGAGGGATAGGGGCTAAGCTAAGGTAGTACTGATTTGAGCAATCTACTGCATGCACTCCTCAGTGACTTTCACACCTGAATGGGGGAAAAAATGCAAAGGGTAATAATGACAACAATCTTACGTATCAGGAGCTGCTTCCTTGGCTTCTGTCGGGTCTGTAGGTCCCATCAATGCCCTCCATCCAGAAACGGCATCTTCTTTGGAAAGCACCATGAACATTGTTTTACCACTGAATGAAARAAGAAATTCCAAAAAAGTACTGRTTAGGTAACAATAGGACAYAGTGTCCCCTACAAGRTTCCCACACCAACCCYTAACCCAAAATCTACTTAAAAACTTCGGGTTATACTTTTAAATAAATTAAATTCACTCAGAATTGAAGCAAACAAGCTAAATAAATAGTAATAATAAATAAATATAGGGGGTTTGCRCCATCACATGATGACAGCCATGACAAAAGGCAGGAACAATGAAATCTGGTCTTAGTCTKATTCACATGAGAAAGAATTTAGTTTTCCAGAGGAAAGACTGTGCCTCCTGTCATGGTTGCCATCAAGTGATGGTGCAAATCCTCTATYAGGGAATGTTGCATCTATGGATTACACCATTATTTTCCTTGTTTTCAAGGGTGCCTGTTTAAGAGTCTTTAGCTAACAAACCCCTGGACCTATTAGATACCGAAGCCTGGATTAAATGACTGTACTCTSGCAAAAAATGAAGGCAAGTATTTTTTGACCTACCTTGCCATGTAGTCTGTAAGATCTCCAAAAAATTCTTTTCCCTCATGTTCATGATAAAACTGGGAAGCCAGCTCTTTAGTCAGAGTAATTTCCTTTTGAGCTTGAATTGTGAACCCTGCTTCTTTTATTCTCTGCCTTATGATTTCTATAGATGAAGATATGTTGTATGTAACTTGACAATGGTACAGGCAGAATCAATGAGCACCAGACCATGCTAAGGGTGTTGCAGACTCAACAAAGTCAAACAAATTTGAAGCCAAGTCTTGATCAGTAATTAAAAATGAGATTTTTATCAAACCCTGGAAAAACATCTGGGCTGAACAAAGTCAGGGCAAATGAAAAGAGCAGCTCAACATTAGTAATAGGACAAAGTTTCAGCTCATAACGTTGATATAGGATAAATGGCATTAAATATAAAATCCAATATTTATAAGGATTTGTATGGGAAGATGCGCTGGATGGCAAAGAGCATGTTTTCCCATACAAATCCTTAAAAAATATTTGATTTTATATTAAATGCCGTTTCAGTCTCCTTTTTCCTTAGTTTGTTATGAGCTAAAACTCCGCCACTCTACTAATATTGAAGTGCTCTGACTTACAATTCCTGATGTTCATTTTGACACAGTTGTCCATTTTAAGGGAGGTAGGTTTGTGTGACCTGTTAGTGGAAGTTGTCTATTCAAGCTGCAGAATGAAAGTTGCTCATATTTCCACTCTGTATGCAAACTTTGCAAAGTGAGCCTCTTTTAGGGTGTGCATGTGGGCTGACAACTTGCAACACATGCAACACAACAATGCATGATAGCTAAACAATGTTGTTTGCAAATTTCAAAGAAATCATCATGGAATGATATAGCTAACCTTGTTGATCAGGTTCAACCTCAGGTTTAATGACAGCCACTGTACTTTGCAGTGGGAAGAATTTTTTGATCTCTTTCTCTGCTGCCTCAGGAGAGTCTGAACCATGAAGGGGATTAATAGGACTATCCTCAACCTGGAACTGTGCTCGYAAACTACAAACACAGCAAAACATGTAATTACAAAAGCTGATGCAGAATTTAGAAAGGCAATCCAGCTAACATAACCGTTATATTATGTCTTATACATAAAATAAAAAATAACCAAAATATTGATTATAAAGAAGAGCTGCGCTGCTAATCTCATGACTTTGATTTAGCCTAATGCATTTCATTTATTATTATTCATCATTGATTAAAATATCATTGAATAAATATTTGGCGACAGTAAAATAGTGTGAAGTGCTAAAATGCAGTGCAACCAGATAGTCAGAGGAAAATTTGCAGTAATAACAAAGAGTTTCTAACAACAGTCTGCTGTCAGTCTGTCTTACCAACCACTGGCCAAAACATGTCTCATGTTACCAACCAATGACTAACACCTGTCTGTCACCTTACCAACCACTGGCCAACACCTCTCTGACAACTTACCAACTAATGACCAACACCTGTCTGTCACCTTACCRACCACTGACTAAATCCTATCTGTCACCCTACCAACCACTGACCAAATCCTGTCTGTCACAATCACAATTGTTGACCAACACCTGTCTGTCACCCTACCAACCACTGACCAACACCTGTCTGTCACCTTACCAACTGCTGACCAACACTCATCTGACAACTTATCTACAACTGACTAAATCCTGTCTGTCACCTTACAAACCACTGGCCAACACCTGTCTATCACCCTACCAACCACTGAYCAATACCTCACCAACCAGCACGCTGCCATCTTTACAATAACCAACCACCTCTTGCCTACTTAACAGCTACCATACATTTTTTGCCCTTTATAACTACACAAGTTAAAGCAACACTTCTAATAAATTAGCAATCATTAGTGTCTTATATTAATTACAATGATTAACTTAATTAAGATGAGTAGTTTTATACCATATGAGCACCCCCAATTATTTATTTCAATGGTGTGTGGATATTTTATTTTTAATTATAGCATTATAATTAATTTTATTTAATGATGAAACGTTATCCCTTACCTTACTGAACTGCCAAGCTCATTGGTACTAATATACAGACAAGAAAATAATATTTATTTGATTAAATATGAAAGAAATGTGAAGTTGATGGTACTATTACATGTCAAGATGTCAGTGTGTCAGTGGTAGGGAGGTTAGTTAGTAGATTTAGGAAGTTAGAATTGCTTGGTTACGACTAGCATTTTTGATGCGGATAGAGGTTGCATTTTAAAGGTACTCTAGTACATTTAAATCAACATATATTGTATGCATCCTATGTACACCTACTTGYGAGAAGGTTGTCATACAAGATTAAAACATTTGTAATTTAGTAAATTAGTGATTTAGTAAATTTGCTGATTGTAATGTAACCRGCATGCAGATGAAGATGTATTTCAAAGTTAAAACGAAAATGAATAAATTAAAAATAAGATCAGTATTCRTTTTTGTACGTTTCTGCTTGTGTAACATTGTGGCTATCATGCAGTAAATAAACAGGTTGACATAATAACAATACTAAAAGAATTTCCCTTTAGACTGGGAAAACTAACGTAACTAAAACTATGAATTCTAGTGCTGCCTGGCATTTCTGATCTGCTAGTATGATCTGATTGGGTGACCCGAGTCTGATGTCAGTAATAATTTATTCCTAATCGGTAAATTTAATAAATCACTAATTTACTAATTTACAAATGTTTTATTCTTGTATGACAACCTTTTTGCAAGTAGGTGTATATTAAACAATTAGCAAAAAAAATTTTTTTTTTCAAAAACATGTGAAAATAATTATAAATTACTCGTCAATCAAGTTAATGCCCTATCACCTTTATTTCGAAACATAAGTTAAAGTGAATAATTACTTAAATAAATGATCAACATATTAAGATTACATACCTATCTGGTGCTTCTTCCTTGGCAATTGCCACTTCCTTTGGACCTAGCATTTCTCTCCAACCTTCAACAGCTTCTTCCCTTGCAAGGCAAAGTGCCATCATAGGACCACTAAACAAAATAATAAAAAGCAACATCACTTTGTATTCAATTGCTGGAAATCTAATGATTACGTGATAAAAATGAAAAGCTTATGACTATAACTAGTGCTAGAGCATATAGATTTTGTAGAAAGGGAGACAAGGAAAGATGGGGAAATGGAGTAGAGATGAAGGGAGGGAAAGGAAGGGAAGGGGAGGGAACAAAAAGAAGGGAAATAAGGGAAAGGAGTTCTAAGGGGTAGGGTGTGTGGAGGGATAGGAAGATATATAATTTATTATATAATATTATCAATATTAGATAATGTATATTCACCAATTATATTAGATTTACTGATTGAAGATGCCATAATATTAGAAGATAATATTATTTAAAACATCCTTTACCTTATCATATTGTTGACCAATGGTTCAAAGAATTCTTCATCCTTATGTTCGGAATAAAACTCTTCAGCTTGCTCTCTAGTCAGCTGCATCTCCTTGGACATGGCAATCATGAATCCTGCTTCTTTTATCTTTTCTATTATAGAATCTAAGATTGATAACAGATAATGTATTGTATCACATTTTTGAGCATAAGTGGTAATTAAAGTGCTTGTATGACATACTGTCAGCGCTACTCAATCAGACAGCCAGCACTGGAATTCCTAGTGTAATTAACTTAATTCCAAAAAACTATCATCTGATAATTAATTTCTAAGTGTATAAGTTTCTGCTGTTTTTGATATTCTGCAAACTYAGTAGTTGTAGGCTGCGCATTGAAATTTTGTTTTTCCCTAATGTCAATAAAAGATAATCAATCAGTACGTTGGTACTAAATTTACATGTATTACTGGGGGCAGTAAAAATCAGCTTCACAAAAAGCCATCGAAATATCTGTTGAAACATCAGAGTTGTAGAATATTAAAAACTGCAGTTAGTAAAAGACATTGCAAATAYGGCAGACATAAAGTGCTGTTTGTGCAATCCAATTTTGCAGCTAAATTTAAAGGTAACGCCTATCCTTCTCCAATRGCTACTCGCTAAGGTTTATGTTGATTTGGTTTTTGTTACTGTTCGAGAGGGATGCCTGGGTACCCTGTGGTGAAAACGAGTAGAAATAGAGAAAAGAGCAAAGAGATGCCTTCAGAGGAGGTTTAAGGAAATGCCATGGGGTTTAAATCTTGATATTAATAATTTCACTTTCCAATATTACCTTTTCTGGTTCTGAGAGCATCAGGTCTGATGAGGGCCAATGTTCTCTGCAGGCGTTTCTTCTTTCTCTTGTTTACAACAGTTGGTGCGACAAAGTCAGGGAAGAAGAATGCAAGCTCTCTAAAATCAAACATGGATGGATTTGACATATTATTTTTTGATTGAATCATAAAAAAGCACTGAAAATAATTACTTATAATAAGTTGATGAATGTCAACTAAGGATAAAATAGTAATTACCTTGCTGCACTTTCACTTGAGTCACATCCATGAACAGCATTCATCACTGTATCTGTGCCATACAATGCTCGCAAGCTAAATGTAGATAGAAGATTAATGGTTTCATATCAATAACTAATTGGTTAATGTTACTGATAGTATAAAATGGGTGRATTTTCCATGTCTATAAAAAGGCAAAGCAATGTCACAATTGAAGACATTCAGTCTTTGAATTAGTAACAGCACATGAATTCACTGGTCATCCAGTCTAAATACTTGATCATGCATGACAACATTGCAGTTAGTTACAATGCATACCAAGGATCGAGCTGCATTGCGTGTGAAACATCATGGCAGCATCAATGGTAAGCTCTACTAACATCCTTTGAAGGATTTGTCAGTAACACAAGATATTTCTGCATGATAGAGCAGATGGAGTCTTTGGACAAAGTAGCTGCCCCAACGTCCTATGAATTAGTTGAACATGCATGCCTATTGGTAACATTACTCATGATTCAGCAAATGAATGATGTCTTTTAATGATGTCTTTGATGATTTAAAAAAATAATCTTTTAGCCACAATTACTTAGCACATTTAATAATTATAAAATATGAATTCTGTTAGCACTGTACCTGTCAGGTGCTTCCTCTTTAGCAGTGTTGACATCTTTAGGACCAATCAACTCTCTGAAGCTGTCAATCACACCTTCAACAGCATCTGGAGTGTCGCCAGCTTTACTCAAAACCAGCGTCATTAATGGACCACTGATAAGAGAATTGAATTTAAGAATTTATTTTTCTAATATAACTCTGGAAACTCATTTCAATATTAATGACATTGCAATCATCATCAGACCTTGTTTAACTTTTGTTTAACTGTACCTTGACATGAATTCAGTAAGCTGTTCAAAGTGTTCAGATTGCTCATGCTGTTTATAAAACTCTGCGGCCTCTTCTTTGGTTAATGTTCTCTCTTCTTTCTTCAGGACTTCTATTCCCATTTCTTCCACCTAATTGGACCATATGAAACACAAAACTCCATTGATCTGACTAAAGGTTATTAAAGTTATTGAAGTACATGAGGTGTGGGTAGYTGTTTTGTTTGCAGTTGTAATATACAGAGGGTCATGGCAGTACATGAAATACAATGTTAGTAGAAGCATGACACATCTTTTTACTTCTTCTCTAGACAGTGTAGACTAACCTTTTTGATGATGTCATCCACAAGTCCTGCTTTGACAGCATCTGGTTTAATGATAGCTACTGTCACCTGTTTGGGTACATGCACTGTGGGGAAAAAGGCCATGATATCAATGGTACTTTTCAAGAATTAAGCACTACAACCATAAAATATGTATTCAGTTTTTAGTTGCATTAAATAGCTGCTCTAGCGGCAGAATATATCCAAGTCTTTTGATCTGCAGCCAATGTGTAAGTTTATCACTGGCACAAGTTCACAAACCAGTCACAATGCATATTAAGGTGCGAACACATGGTGCAACATTGCATGCAACATTGCACACAACAAATTTGAATCAGGTTGACACACATTGGGACAAAATCACACAACATYGCTTGTGTCAGTGCTCTAGGCTAAGAAATTTGGTGAGTGGTTATAAATTTGGTGCAAGCTGTTTGGCTGGAAATTTCAAAATGTTGCACGCAATTTTGCACCCATTTTCACATGATGAAATTTGTTGCCTACAATATTGCAAGAGTAGAGCATGATTCAACTTCATATTTGTTGCATGCAATGTTGCRTGTAAACAAGTGTGTGCAACAAGTTTCAGGGGTAGACACGCTGCAACAGTCATGTTGCATGTACGTTTGTGATGTTGTGTGCAATGTTCCACTATGTGTCTTAAGTTTTAGAATGGGTTGACATTGCGAGCAACCAGAGCCTATTTTTGAAATTGGTGTGCTCTAATGGTTAACAAGTAAGCTATTCAGACATGTTTTTAAATATCTGTACTACCAGAGGCTATATACTATCTACCTGTTTGCCTAACACTACCTTCTCCTCCTGATACTTCCTTCTTAGGTTTCTTTTCTAAGATGTGACTACTTCTATATCTAGTCATTTCTTCAGCAACTGCACAGAAAACATTCATACATTGTTAAGGTATTCACGTACATACCRCTATTTATACAACAATTTGATATGCATGGACCTTACACAGCAGCAGCCATGTTTATTGTMATGAGAATAAGAACCTTCTATTAAACTGTATAAATTTATTCCAGTATAGTAGTAATAAATTATGYGTTCAGTGTGTGTAATGAAGTAGAAATTATAAAATGTCAACATATATTAAAAGTTTCATACGGTTTTCATTAATTACATATGGCTTTGAAATTTTCTTTRTATTTCACATGCATGTGAAAAAAATGATTCAAAATTTCACATGTCAGATTTCACATGTTTCAAAATTTCACATGTTTCAAGTTTTCACTCATGAAATTTCACATGTTCCGTTCACATGTTCCCAAATTTCACATGTCAGATTTCACATGATTCAAAATTTCACATGTCAGATTTCACATGATTCAAAATTTCACATGTTTCAAGTTTTCACTCATGAAATTTCACATGTTCCGTTTCACATGTTCCCAAATTTCACAGGTGTTTCACAGCCATTTCACATGTTCTGCTCCAACAGTGAGAGAATAAGAGAAAAATATCAAATGCCCTTGGCGGGAATCAAACCCACGTCTTCACATGTTCAACTTACCTATAGAGAAAAAATATTGCTCTGGGATCCTCATGAGTACCCTATATTTCATATTCCGACTGCGTTACCAGCRTGGTTGGTCCTTGTGGYGTTGTGGTTAACACATCGGGCTGGAATTCCGAAGAGTGGGTTCGATTCCCGCCAAGGGCATTTGATATATTTCTCTTAATCTCTCTAAATTTATTCCAATTAAAAGCACTCGAATAAAATGCTATGCTTGGGAAAATCTATTGTTCTAGTCAACATGGCTGCCACGTGAGTATTAGGCTATGAGGCCAATTATTATAGGTAATAAGAAGATATAACTAGCTAAAAACTAGTGTGAGCTGCRTCGGTGTTTCTAATGAAACAGTAATGATGAAAAGGTAAATTRTACACCGTGAAAAGATAAAAAACTTACTGACATTTCGGACGCTAGTCCTTCGTCCTCCGATGAAGGACTAGCGTCCGAAATGTCAGTAAGTTTTTTCATCTTTTCACGGTGTATAATTTACCTTTTCATCATTATTATAGGTAATAATGACTGTATAATTAATGGACATTCTATGAAATATAATTTGATCAGCTTACCAATTTCTTCTTCCTCCTCTTCCTCTGTTGGAGGCTTTTCCTCTTGTGCTTCCTCCGCTTCACCTTGCTCTACTTGTTCATCAACAAACTATTCAGTAGAAATGAAAACCTTCAGCCAACTTCAAAAATAAAGCTCTTTTGTGATAATTATAATAATGTGCATATTCCATATGCATAATTATGATCACATGCRTGCTGATTTGGCTGCTGGACTATTTCAATTGCATGATTCACTCCTGTCCAAAATAACGGTTATTGTAATAATTTRTATTTCATWAAAAAAATAARAAACTTGCTTGCTGTGCCATGGAGTTATAAAGCACTTGGGGATTGGCAGAACACTGAAGAAGTGTTRAGAAGCACTAYGCTACACATCAAGCTTTTCTTAACGTTTCTCTTGTGTTCTGCCAACCCCTGCATGCTTTATACATGTATTATGCATGTTTTCTATTTCTTCATTAGTACCAGTATTGTTGTTTTGTATCTTACCCTTGTTCTTTCTGCTTGACCTTCCAAGACCTTGTGCTCTTTTTCTAACTCCTTTTTGATGGTTTTAAGTAATAGTGGACAGTGACATCCTCTAATGACATTCACCAATGTGTTCCCCTTGAAAAACACCAAAGGTTACATACAAAAATGTTACATGCATGYACAACAGAGCAGAAAAGAAAAGCTCATGGCACAGTCATGACATGGCAAGCGGTATGCCATACCAATCACATYGCATGCACATTTACACTTAATCCAATCAAATGTTGGAAACAAGCCATTACAAGGTCAAACCAATTTCACACAACTGCTARACCAATCACATTAGACAAGTAAAAGATCAGCCAATCAAAATTCTAGATAACATTATTAAGCCACGGCAAGGCATGCATATGATACCGAAAATGAATACTTGAAGATCTATATATGTAGATTAAATAAATATTAAAAACGTTGTTCCCAACACTTGATGATGGCGGTAAATAATACTGAATGAATGAATGATGTACTTACTGCATAAAACAAAAATGTTGGTTGACTCTTCATTCTGTAATTCTCCAGTGTATCAATACCATCAGTTTCAGCCTTCATTAAACAAAACACAAATATTAGTTGTTATAATTTCACAAATTGAAATTCTAACCATTTGCAGATATAATACTATTACAAAGGCAACACCTTTCCTCAGTAATAAGTTTTTATTTTTATTTTTAAGTTTTATATACAGTATGAGTTGCTGTGTTGTATATATCATACAACACAGACACAAATATTGTATATTGCTTTACAAACGTCTAGGTTATTTTCTTTGYGTTTCACTAAAACAATTTCATGATTAAATTAACTAAAGTGAATTTGCCCAAGAAAATCCAAGTTAAAGTTTATGCAAATTAAGATCTCTGTCATGACTGTTGTCTTTCATCTGGGTGAAGCAATGAAAACAGTGGGAATTATTGTGCATGTAGTAATACCGTGGCAAAGATAAGCAAGTCATCTCCAATTTCATTTTTCAGTCTCTTGAAGGAGCTAATTATAGCTTTACAGGGACCGCACCATTCTGAATATGCATCAACAACTATAAAGAACAAAAAATGGCATATCAATAATAGTCAATTTCTGCACAATTTTGAAGTAATTTTGAACTATACAATTAACACATCATTGGGGCTTAAGGTGGCTGACTACTTTTGAATGCTACATTTGAGCYCACGATGTGTGTGTGCTCAAAAACYGCTGAATAATCTTCAAAGAACTATTATCCTTTGAATCTTTATTTTTTTCTGATCACTTCCAGTAGCGAATTTTTGCTCCAAAACTTGTGCTTAGGYATCCATCAAATGCTGATTATCTCAAAACAAGCTCTGGACACTCCATTTTTCTTTTCATAAAAAGTTAAAAAGTTTCAATTTTCTGTTTATTTTTTTCCAAAGTAGTCAGCCATGTTAAAAAACACTGGTCATCAGACAATGTCCACACAGAATTGGAGCTTGTCCAGTCAAATCTTTGCCTTGCCTACAGTTATTTTGAACAGTAATGTTGAGCCAGAAATAAAGTAATGAATTATAGCTATTACTAACTTGGCTGGCGACTATGATCAGTGACTGATCCGCCATTATTTTAAGCTTTGAGTATCCAAAGCATGACTACTGGGAATCAAGGGTAGGTTGCGGTAGAAGTGTACATGTACTCCCATGTAACCTGCCTGGGGTCTCAAATCCTGAACTCAATGTATTAGTATAGGAAATCGCACGATCTCGAGTACAATTTGGAAATTAATAGACACGAGTAATGTTTTGAAAGTTCTTGTAATTGCATGAGCCTTTAGGAGAGCGCAATTAAACTCTCCTAAAGGCTCATGCAATTACAAGAACTTTCAAAACATTACGAGTGTCTATTAATTCCAAATTGTACGAGAAGATCGTGCGATTTTTTGTTTATAGTTCACTCAACAAAATTTCAGTAAAAAATGCGAAGCGACTCCATTCATCTTTGTCTATTTGTCGGCCGATTTTCAGTCCATCGCGCAACTGAAATGCATAAAAAAGATTAGTTGTTACGGCTTTAAAATTTGATTTATATGTTTTTTAAGTACAAAATGATAGAAAATAATTGTTTTGACATTGTTTTGGCCGTGTTGCYATAGCGACTTAATTTGGTACTCCTAYGGAGTACRATTAACRGTATAATTGTACTCCTCTCGACCAATCAGAGTCGAGTAATTTTGCTGAGTGTACTATAAAGGTGAAAGGAGCTTGTTGTCCCTTTGTTAGATTAACCCTGAGGTCATTGAGGTTGCTGAGGAAAGCTCAAGGACTTTGTGTCAATATTTCTTAAAAATTTAACCTTAAACCAAATATTATGAGCCATGTTTATACCTATGAGTCCTTCCTTTGTCATTAGTTCATCCCATTGTTCTTGGGTCTTGACTTCAATCTAATTAAATATCAACATCAAGTAGTCAGTATAAGAAATGGATATCACTTAATATTGCCACCAGGAGTGCAATAGGGAGCTTGTACACACTGACTGATCGAAACTCAACAGTCGTTTACAGTTAAGGTACAAAACAAATAAAATTTCATTGATTGTGTTTATTGCCTGATTCTCCTTTTGACCATTGTCATGATCAYTGGGTAGCAATGAAAATAGTGGTAAAGCATGTACGTGCAAGTYACCCTTGATATCAATGGCTATACATATTGTCCATACACCAACAGTACACTTGCAACAATTARCACATGTCAAGTCATCTACTCTGTAACTATTCAAGTAAATAAAAAATTTAGGTTTTGAATAAGGTCTCAATACCACCAGTAGAATCTTCTTTTTTGTTTCTTTTACTTGCTCAATTAACACCATCATCTTGCAACTCCAAACAGTATCAAAGTATGTTAAGTGTATCAAAGTATTATTGTAAAAGAAGTTGAAGAAAAATCATTTGAAAAGGCAGAAAAGCATTGGTCACTGGAARTTCCATGGGAATAAAACTCTGCACCACAGATGTGACTCATTTAACTGACATTATTAATGAGGTATTTTACATTTATCACACCATCATTACAGTAAATCACCCCTGCCATTAATTATTTCAGTGAATGTTTTTGTGTTACACTAATAGATTGCTCTGAAATTAATCAAAATTATGACCAATGTTTTTTCCTCAGCTTGCAATATGATCCATGATAATATTATCTTTCTTCTGGTATCCCTTCTAATAAAAATAGAGCTTTATCTTTTTATACTTCTGCTTAGAAGATGATAGAAACTATATATATGCGATTAACGGCAATATTTCCAGCTTTCACTGTGCATCACGAAAATTGTTCATTACTTCCTGATCATCCACAATTAAGTTGAATGAAAGTATCAATGTTATAATTTTATAAAAGGGGGATGTAACTAAGTAAATGTGAAAACATTGAAGCTTACAGTATTTGGTCAATTGACCAACAATTCCCCCGGGATACAACCGCATCATCAAGAAAGCCAGTTAAAAGTTGTTCTGAGATTTAGCTGATGGATTGGAATTKATACCAAAACAATGACTTTTGTTTCACGGTTAACCTAGTAAGTGTCRAAAATCGAAAAATGACACACTTTTTTGTCTCCATGCGGCGGAGAGTGTATCTCTGATATGCATACTTGAGTCACTAATCTTGCAACATTTTAACCGATTTAACACCTTGATACCCTTAATTTAGACCCGAAATAAAGAAAAAAGGTCATAAGAATACTAACATAAGCCAAAGCGTACAAAAATTGCTTGCCTGAAGCGGTCTTTGGGCATCGGGGTTCTTCTTGATGTACGCCATCTTGGATCGACTTCTGTATACACGACCGTTTCTAGGCTGCCTTGCTCATTAATTATACGCCAAGTTCTTGAATATGGTTAATATTTAGCAGGATCGGGCTAATCAAATATTTTCCTAGCGTGATATGCCTCGAAATACTTTGTTTTTTGTTCTCTTGAAAGGTGTTATATGAGCTAACATTTAAATTAAATTTGAGAAGTTTAATTTTTGAATTCCTCCTTTGCCTTTGCAAATATTCACTGTCGTCGCGGCGGAAAATCAAAAATAACAAAAAAATTTTTTATAAAACTATTTTCTTAATACATATAATGATGAACTTAAATTATTATTCTCGCCAAGGATAATATCATTTGACATTATTAAAACAGAAAGCGTAAAATTTAAGCCTCGACTTTCTTATCGGCAGCCATTGACAAGATCCATTCTGACATGGGACCCCATAAGTTCACGCAAACTGAGGCTCTTATTTCAACTTTCAATAASCTTTTTAAAGACATTTTATCCTCAGGTGTGAATTTTTTCAGCAGGCAAGATTAAAATATTAATTCTAACAAACTAGCATAAGATTTTGAGGCCGTAATGAGGACGTTGGTTCCTTCATTGGCCGCCATCAAAGGACAAAACCGTGTATTGACACAGCACTTTATTGCGGAAYTTATGTGTTTTCTTTGATAAGAGATTTAGTTAATTGTCGCAGACATGAAAAATAGGAAGAATACCTACTTCTTAAAGTAAAATAAAAGATGATGTTAATCCAAAAATCTCAAATGGTGAATTTTTTTAGGTCCCATTTTTGTCAGCCATTTTTTGCCGAGGTTGTAGTAAACCAAACAACTGCCAACCAGTCAATCGATTAAACATTTGCTTGAAGTAAACTAACCTGGAGTTCCTTGGCTTTTCCTTTAGACATGATTCAAGGATTCCTAAACCATAGGTACTGGGGAAAACAGAAAAATTCGAGGAACGAACTAACTTGGAAAGCGTTTGAGGATTTTTCGTATAAAGTACAACGTTTCTATGGTAACGCCAAGGACTCGTGACGGCCGGACTGAAGTCGATTGTTGCTCGTTATTCGCTCCGCTTGAAGAAAAACGTTTTTGATGCATAAAATTTAAACATTAAGACTATTTTTTTAGTCTTGCCATGACAAAAATACTAAAATGAAACAATTACAAAGCTTATATTTGGGTTTAAAGATATCGGCATGAGCTATGAGCCTCACGGATGTACTCGACATCTGCCGTTTAATCCGTTTAATATTACCCGCGCATAATTTCCAAAACTACTTAAGAGAGTGCATTTATAAAATAAATAGATAACATAGAGCTTTATATTAAATTCATCCCTTTATTTTGTTATCTGCATGTTTTAATTCCTTTCTTTTTCCTTTTCCTTTGCAAAGAGACATTTATATATATTCAGAACACAGTCACTCGCCGATCTGCGGCAGGTTGTCATCCTTGGCCGCCAGTACACTATTGGCCTACTTAGGATCAATGTAAATATGTATTCAGAGATTCATTATGCGTGTATTTCCTCATTATTCACATTCGATTATTCATAACTGTTGACCAAATACCTTTCAGCTTGGGTCAAGCGCTTTTATATAGCTGATATATACGTCCCCAAACCTTGGCAGTACCAAGAGAGCATATATATACTCTCCGGCCACTGGGGGGTTTGCTCCCTAGTTTTACGCGCTATCAAATTGGAAGGTTTCGAGAATAAGAAGAGGGGGAAAAAGAGAGAGAAAGAGACAGAGAGGGGGAGGGAAGGGGAGAGCTCTAGTGAGAGAGAGAAGAGAGACGGAGCAAGATTAAAGTGCAAGCTAGCCTTAGCTCATTTTCTCTAGTGGCCGGAAAGATGATATATCACGAAAAAGATGTGCCGTGCACTAAAATTGGTTCACGAATTCCACCCTTATCATTCCTTGTATTGTTACAAATCATCTAGTTTTTTCCATCAGKCTCCGCTTTAAAATTTTTGTTTCTGTTAACGTTAGCTGTAGCAGGATACGTCAGTTGTATTTGCTCAAGAGAATATTCTCTTGATTTGCTGATTTTTCAAGAAAACAAAATGCAACGTGTGTAGAAAAACTCGCCTCTTAAACACGTGGTCATTTTACCCCTTTTCCATCTACTTGCGATACTATGTTTTAGTTGACTACTTGAACTAAAAGTTAAATAAAAGAACTCAATAAAAGTCGGTTCGGGTGATTGAAAAGAAAGTTGYATAATTTTTTCAATCTTACCACCGTAATAACTTCCGAATTAGTTCTGCGAATCAGGCAGGAGCGCSAAAAACGAGGGAGAATACCGGGCCAAGCAGATCACATGGTTCTTTTTTCCACAGGGTCTACCAATATAGACCACTGAAATATATATGCGAACCATA